CAGGAGTAAAATTCAAGGTAAAGTCGTTTGGAACATTCCTTTATTCACGCTTTGTAAACGAAATTTCATCGATGTAACACGACCGTTTCTGAAATTATCTGAAATAGTGAAATTATTCGTAGAAATATCATATCTGGTACTAGAAAAACGTGGGTTAGAAAATTAATAAACATGACTTAAAACTTAAGTAGAAAAAAGGAAGATCTTATCACCAGCAAAGTCACAAAATTCGATGAAATCTTCGGAACTGCCACATGGAATATGATTGTAAGGAAGATGTCATTGACATTCTCTTGTTTGGCGGTATTTTTTTTATGAATTACTCAGCTAATCTTCTTTTGCTGACTTTTGAAAAGGATTAACCTTGGATCATCTTAGCATATGTGTTGTCTGAGGGCAAGTTGTAGGAAGCTGAACAGGAAAAAATGTGACGTGTCTGTTGTTTGTTGAATTTCTTATTATTAAAAGTTTATTTTTACGTCAAGTTGGTAATACAACCGTTTCTTGTTTATTTCCGCTGGCTGTTTTCATTGTTAAAATACTTTCTGTTCTCACTCGAGCCTTCCTTTATGTCTTAATTCTTAATTCTCAGTCGAAACTTAGAAATATTCGGCAGTGTAATCAGATTATATATATTTGAAGTCTTTTTACTGGGTTAAACCTTTTGTTTGTTTTTTTTTCCCCGCCAGAAAAACTAGGAAATGAAAGGAACAGAATAAAAGCTCTCATATGCAGGGCTGACTATATGTTAGCCTTCAAAAACTGAAAATAAAAATCTCTCTCAATCTGGTGTACTTGTTTATCCTGAATTCATTTGAAAAGCGGATTTATTCCTGTTATCTATCAAAAGGTCGCTATTACGTGTGAATCAAATCGAGCAGATTTGAACATCACGTTCGTTTTATCAACACACAGTCCTCTTTTTTCTAACATCAGTACACCAAAGATCGTATAAAACAAACATTCAATTGTATACATTAACTGCGAACTAAAGTTTCAGTTTATCAGGATTAAGAGATAATTAAATGAGTATTTTACTATGCAAATTGCCACGTTGGCATGCTTGACAATTTTCATTTGACCGGAGTCATTCCTCTCCAACGAAAATAGCTGACTTTAGTCGCTAAATGATCAAAAGAAACTTTCAATAAAGCAAAGGCAGAAAAGTCTCCATCTATCAAATTTATCATAGGAATAACATTGTTTATTTTTTAGAGAGCACGGTAACGAATCCTGAAATCTGAATTGGTTCTTTACCCGGTCAGTAGTGCCCACGGGCCACGGTAACACTTTCGTGAGTCGTTGCCATTTTTCATAAATATATCTCGTTTTTCCGGCTGGGCTGTATTTTTAAGCAAAGACGTCGGTCATTACCTCAAGACGATAAATAACTTATTAATCCTCTCTTTTCTCTCTCTCAAATCACTTTGGTTGACAGAAAAATATTGGTTTCAGAATGAATTTGTATAAGCAATAGTGTCAGTACTTTGGTTGACAAGGGGCCTAAAAACCGTCTGCAATTAATTTCAATCGTTGACAAAAAGTACCCAGAAAGTTAAAACGTGAGGTATTTGGTTACAGTTAAACTAATCGATGGAACTTTCATTCATTTAATATTTGAATTTTCTCTAGCAATTAGTTCGTAGTGAAAGAGCGAGCGAAGTTTTAATTTCAGTTCAACCACAAATATACACTCTCGGTGAGTCACGGTCCTTCTAAGTCCGTTCAATTTGGACATTTGTACCGTAAACTTAAGGAATTCAATGAGGAAAGGCTGCATTAAATCCCCTTGTGTCTCGTTGGAAAGTATCATTCGAATTTAGTTTTTGTGAAGGAAAGGCCAGATTTGCAAACAAACGAGCAAACTCTCACAACTTCAAAACAAAAAATTTGAATTTACTTACAATTACTTTCCTCGCCATTTACTTAATGAACAGATGTAAATCTTCGTACATGAATTAATCGTCGATGAGAGTGAATAATACTTTCCGTTTGATCATTGATTGTTTTTTAAGAAAACATTGTCGTGACAGTTCGTTGTTTTTCAAAAGTGTACATGCGCTTTTTTTTCATACGCGCTCCCTAATTGACAGGTGTCAGATTTTGACAGATACTTGTAAAAATAATGTTTCATAATTTGTTTGGAAGAGTTTTAAATCACCTTTATCATCACGCAAATGAAAATGTTTTGGTGAAGCATCTCCCTTTAATTTGCATGACCCCTATTTTAACTATTTTACTCGCTCAAAATTATTCAGTTTATGGAAGATCTTGACGTCTTTACAGCCCTAAATCATTCGGGTTCTTTCGGAAAGAATTTCGTTAAGTTTTTTTAAAAAATAAATATGTTATTTACCGGCTTAGGGTCGGTCCGTATGGTGAAAAATTTATTTATGTTGTCCCTCAGATCTGCGTTATTCCACCCCGAGCGCGAATGTGACTTTAGTGTGTTTTAAAACTTGTCACCATTCAATGTACACGTCGTCATATCAAACTTGAAACGGATGGAAATGAAATTTCGACCGCGTAAGTACATATTTTGAACATAATTGAATTCATTGGGTATCATCTGTGCTTAACAAAGTGAATTGAAAACGAAAAAAACAGCGCTCATCAGAAATAGTAAAGATTCTGGATTTACGTTCAACTATTTGTTAGAGTAATGCTAGTGATTTCACCGCAACTAACGTGACAGGTAAAATTCTACAAATAGAAAGTACTGTTAATTGGTGTCAACTCACGACTTTGAAGTGGCAATGAAACGTTTTAATGGTGGGAGAGTAAGTTGTCACAATCTCGTCAATGTCGAGGTAAAATATCCGTTTAAAGTTCACAAAATGCAGAGAAAAGGCGAGCGCACCAAAGCTCGTCTTCGACATTGTGTAGGCCAGATAGACATGAATATAAACTTATCAAATTATTACAGTTTTATTGAATTTCATCACAATTACGGTTAGTCAGCTTGTGGCAATTTAGGTTACATCCTCTATATTTCAAAGTATTTGATTGTGAAATGCCTTCTATTATTGACAGTCAAAGAACTTAACAACAACTACACGTATATCGCAAGATATTTTATTCTAAATAAAATAATCAAACTTGAACACTCGCCTCACGTTCCATAACTGGGTCAGTAAGTGATGCCCATTATGCATAATTATTTTTGCCCAGTCGAAGTCACAGATGTAATATAACAACAATTTCAAAAGCAATAAAAACCCTTCTCTTCTTCGTGTGGAGGACCTTTAAGATAATTCACGGTTTTTGCTTGCTGAGATGTGGAAGGCTCATTGCAGTTTGCCCATAATTTTTCTCTAGCGTGAACATTTAACGTTTAAAATATTAAAAGTTGTGACTTAGTAACGATAGTTGGACTAACTAGGGTTTCATTTGGTCTTTAATCAAACGAGTGATTACAAAATATGAAGACTGCAAAACGGGAGTCCCATTTGTTATTCACGAGCATATGAAGTCCTGTTAGCAGTTAATCGCAACCAATAAAATTTCGGAAAAGAACAAATAAATTGATTTAAGAATGGGCTTTCAGAATTGATTACCTAAGGTAAAAAAATTAATTCATTTTGGAAATTCGCCAGTTTTGAAGGGTAAGTGGTTATTACTATGGTTATTGTTATTAATAATGGTAATAGGACTGAGTGGAGTCCAATTCGGTCTGTAATCATACGAGTGATTAACAAAAACTATGACGAAATTTGAGAAAGAAACTAGACATCAGTTATACGTTTTCATAAAAAAAAAGCATCAGTTCACTCGGCGAAATGCGAGACAATAGCGCGCGCACATGACACGTTCTGTCCACCTACACAGGCATGAACTGTCCCTTTAACTGTCCTATTACACTGTCCATTTACAAGCATGACGAGTACACTGTCCTATTAGTGCTCAAATCGGGCTGGTGATAACCAATCACGTTCGAGAATTTTGTTATAGTTTTGATTAATTCTGTGATTGATGAATTTTGCTGAATGGATTTAGTATGATTGGCTGCTTTAACTGTCCGGTTACAGGTGTCAGATTACAGCCAACTGTCCGATTACAACTCTACAGAACAATTAGAGAAAAATAAATCTACTAATGCACCAATCACATCTGAGGAAATTGTAATGGTTATGATTCAGCTTGATAACTTTCATTACTATGATAACGTCTCCACCAGGTGTCTTTACTTGAGCCATTCACATTCTTAACGAAAGAGGAAAGGGTCACACTTTTGGTCAAACAAGACGACTATTACGGAATGATGAGCTTATGGCTTTCAAACGGATGAATCTTTCAAAATCATCCTGATTTTTTTTTTATTCTTTAAAGATAAAAGAATAAAGATAGAGATAAAAGGAGAGTAGGAGAAACTCGAGTGTGCTTCTCTCGCAGATATAGGTTATTTGCCAATTTGGTTATCAGCTTGAATGTTTTTGTTTTTGACTTTTCTTTTTTTTTGGCTTTTAAATAATAACTCGACATCCACTATTATTACATGTATAGGACGAGTAAAGACTGCGGTTCCATGTCGGAGTAGCAACAGTTCAACGCCCTCAACCTTGAATACTTTGGATTGGAAGGCTAAAATTTTCGGTATATACAGGACTTAAACCTCCTCTACGTATGAATCTCAATTTTTCGGAAAGAATCCCGTCAGGAAGCAGTTTGTAGCAGGGATCGCTCCTGGGTGTTTTTTTTTCTACACTGAGATAAACGGTCAAGTGTCAAGACATCATAAACGTCGTCCTTTAAATGACCTTATTCCTAATAACGAAACCCACACTAAACACTCCTGGATTTTAGTGAAAACCCTCTCTTTATTTGCAAGTTGTCATGACATCATCCCCACTCAACACAGTTCAGACGTGCAACCTTAAAATGCCCGATTTCAAAACTTTGCTATAATTTATCCTGACTATTAAATCTAAGGTTCCTGATTGTGCTATTTTTCTTATTCTGCTGTTAGATGTTGAGCAATAAAACCATGGTAGTATACGACACTATGCCTGTGGGGGTGGTACTTCTTCCACGTAGATCCGGGACACTGAGTTCCAGCCTGTGTATGCGTCAGCAGATCCGTAACCATTACAGTTACCGACCCAGAATCCAACGCGCACAACACCTTTGTGGACTTTCTCGCACACACCCTCGATATGACGGGGGCGGTGTAAATTCTTTTTGGCGCCATTTCCATATACCATGTAGACTACGCCATCAATTGCAGCAGGAGCTGAGCACTCTGCGCCGTTTAAGGTGAAATACCATCGTCTGCAGCAATTATGGCAGTTATAGAGGCGGAGGTTGCCACTCCAAAACACGCGCAGAGCTGTTTTGGCCGACTTTTTGATGAAAAGGCATTCCTGGAGAAATAATTGATGGTTAACTGTGAACAATATGAATTCAAAATGTCCTGAGCGATATAAGTCCTAAATCAAGTCCAGTTTACGGATCCTTTAACTACTTAAGGTTTATCTTCACAGTTTCGACCTTCTGCCACAGAAAAACTATTTTGGCTTGCTGCATAACTCGATCTCCTTTCAGTCAAAATCTGATAGGAATCGTCAATTTGAGCAATGATGTCAAATACAGTTTTGTAAAATTGCGATTAATTGAAATAAAAACTGAAGTACCTTTATCAAGCCAGTGTCCTTTCCATCGTTCAAATTTTTGAAAACACACTGTTTCCAATTACTCCCGAGAGCTCCTGGAGGACCCCGGAGGCCTGGGGCTCCCTGTCTTCCTTTATCCCCTGCATCACCTTTGGTTCCACGGGGACCCTGCCGGCCTGTGGACCCTTGAGGTCCCAATTTTCCTGGGGGTCCCTGTTTACCTGTGAGGCCTTGGTTTCCCGCCTTTCCTGCGTCGCCCTTGTCCCCTTGTGGTCCCGTAGAACCACGAGGACCGGGTGACCCTGCGATGCCCGTGGGTCCCGCGGGTCCTGGGCTCCCGGGAATACCTGGTATCCCTGGTGCACCAAAAAGAGCACCATAAGCATAGGGTCCATATGGTTGATGTGGGTGAGTGCCCTGTGCAAAAAAGAAAAAAAACATAACACGTACTTTGTTTATATGCTGTCAGAAATACGACTATTTTTCTTGTGAACAATCGTTGTGACACATTCATCTTTCTAAGAATCGAAATGTTCGATCATGAAATCATCGTTTTGCTTCAATTTTTTTAGGGAATATCTCCTTTTGCATTCTCTTTTGGAATAACAGTGATGGAGAAAATCAGACGAAATGATAATAACTACAATGTTGTGATGTTTTTGGAAAAGATAAACTTACCATGTTACAATTCGGCTTGCCACCGTTGCTGTTGTTTTTCGTTGCATAGCAAAGAGCAATTAGCGGAAAAATCAGCCAAAATATCTTGGTTTTGGGCGGCATGTTCAGACGATCGTGCATGTTGTTTATTCTTCAGCTGTAAAGAGCTTGGTGAAGAGACCTCCTATCTTATTCTGTGGCTATTAACAGAGGTAAAATAGTACAAAAGTTAAGGGACATTCTTTTTATATTGATGTTGCTGACGAAGTTTCGTGAAAACACGTTCTGGACATGATAACTGACGCACGTGGTAAATAAGACATGTACTGTGATTGGTTGATTACTATCAATTTGACCAATTACATTGTTTCTTCTATGTTGTGTTTGAGTGTGCAAACATTAAAAAAAACCGCCATCAAGAAGTAATGAATAAATACATGACAAGCAGCATTTCCACGTTGAAAATATGAAAGAAAATACATAATGTTAGACGCTAGAGTGTTCGTCTTGGAAAAGAGAATGAAGTTAATATTTTAGATTACGATTGATTTGATCTTTTCATCTTTCTTTGATGTTTTGAGGCTTCACCTTCAGTTTTGATTAATGTTCTTTGAGTGATCGTATATTTGTGCTGTAGAACAAGAACTCAGTCGGACTTACACGATTAGAAGGGCATAATTGTGAAATCCAAATTTGAATAACTCCATCAAACATGATTTCTATTCATTGAGTGTTCTTGTTTTGAAATAAATAACATATTTTCCTCTTTTTTTCTTAAAGATCTCTCGATACATCCTGTTCTCTTTTCCAAAATAAGTTCAGATAAGGAAATTATATTGTAAATGATTTGTTCGAAAGAGGCGAGCACAAACAGTTCTGCTGAATAGATCGGCTACGATATCAACATCAAGCAAGTGACATTCAAAGCTCAAGGTTTCGCGAGCAATGCGACTAAAGTTTTGCTTTTGATTTCCAACATAATTGAGAGTCCTCTTTATTAACCTTGGAAACCGATTCCTTTCAGCCGATTCCTTTTAGCCAAAAGCGCTGTTTTCATAACCTCTTGTAAAATTGATTTAATGACTGAAATAGAATTGTTTTTTGTTGTTGTTGTTTTTACTATATAATTGTGCGGCTAAATCACAGGTTATAGAGGATTTTGTGCTTGTGCGAATAGTCAACTTTGAGATTTAAAGGTTGGTTGATAAAATTCCTCCAGAGGAAAAGCTTGATTGGATTAAGATCAACGTTTAGTTAATTTCATCTACTTGAAATTTGATGGAGTATAACACTGCATTCTCTTTGCGCTGTTTAGTGAGAGAGTTACATGGAAAATTGAACAAACTCGTTATTGCTCGTGAATTTATTTACCTTGAAGTATTTCAGCCCTTGTGCTGCCTGACAGGAAACTGAAGGAAGCTAAACGAAATGAGAAAGTGAGAATCAAGTTTAACTTTGTTGAAGACAGGAAAAGATGATAAAAAAAAATTCTTATTTACCGGATCCTTCTAAACCCCCGATTTGTACTCAGAGCTCGTTTACGTCCCACATTACATGCCGATTTCTTTCCTTGTTTGTTTAGAGCCGATTCTTGTCAGAACAAGTAAGATCGAAAAACAAAACGCAAACGATGCGGGAAAGTTTTTTTTCTCTTAAGCACAGCTCTTCGTGAAATTACATTGTATGGTCGTAGCTTGTTCAGTGAGATCCCTGACAAAACCGTCTCTTAAAGTTTGAGAGAAGAGCTGTTGGTTAAAGCAAACTCATCTTCCAACACAAAAACTGCTGACACTATGAACTCGATTAAAAGTAGAACACTTCTCAGTTCTCCTGCAACGATACGAGGAAATTAGGTTGATATTACTATGAAATCCATTCAGAAATCCTGCGTGAGAAAAAAAGTGTTGATTTTCTAAACGGCATATTCTTCTATAGGCCAGTAAAAAGCAAAAAATGCAAACTGAAACCAAGAGAAAATCAGCCAGCCTTTTTGACTTGGCTCTCTGGAGTGTAGATTTATGTAGATATTGTTTAATAGGACTAAAATAGAAATGATTGTTTTTCAATTTTAAACCCTTTTCCTAATGGTTTATTTTTTTTTCTTTTCTGCTTGGGCAATCATATTTCTCGGCTTTCAACTCTATCAAGTAAACCCCAGTCAGACCATTTTAAATTGAAATACATGTCGTCTCATAAAAAACTTCTATGATCTTTCGAAAATCCTACCTATTAAAGTCGATCGTATAGTTTTCCTTGATAGAGCTCTTCAAAAGTTCCTGAAAATGCGACAAACAACTTGATATGAGGAGGTGAAAGATGTTTTTTTAAAACAACGAGCATTTTCCTTTTGTCATTCGAAGATTTCCAAATTTTACTTCACTTTAGATAAACCTCGATATACAATATGCGGGATTTAGAAACCTGATTTTTATTTTGAAGAGCATAAGTATCCCTCGTGATGGGATAAGTTGGGAAGTTAACGAGACCGCGACCACAAAAAAAATCAATTCTAATTCGTGTTAGGCGCAAAATTAAAGAGCGTAAGTATTCTTTCAGTCGTGTCTAGTATGTACCACTACCGTATAAATAAGTTATACAGCATTTAGCTTCTCTCGTTCAGGAAATATTTTCGTTAAAAATGAAGCTAAAAGGAATTTTCCCGACACAAAATGATTACTTTCCTTAGGGTACCCCAGCGCCTGGGTAGCTTGAGAGCAAATTGGAGGAAGAAGGAGAACGAACATCAAATTTCACATTGATGAAAATGGAAGAGGTATTGAGTAAAAAAAAGTCATTTAGCTCCTAATCGTCCTTGGTTTCTATCATTTCAGTTTGTGGTGGCTCGTTTGTTTGCTCACCGTGCGTCGCTCTCATTCTTCATCTTGTCACGATAAGATTACTTCGTCAGTTTGTCACGATAAGATTACTGAGTTCCCTTACATTCCCAAAGCCCAAAAATTTTAATGAATATGTGTCAATTTTCTCAACTGATCCTTTGTTCAAAGAAATTTATCTCATTTATCGATCGTTAGCTGTGTGAATCAGGTTTCTCTTCTCTCTCGCTTTCCTGTCACCAATAATTTCTGAGTGTCAGCAAAATGTCTCTAAAAAGTGGTTTTGCAATTGAAGTCATTAATTCGGTTCGCGCCTGTATAATTTGGCAGTACACTCTACATCGTTCTTTTGATAGTATGACTGAAAAAACGAAGTTAAATGATTAGGTTAGACATGTTTTAGGTATAGTTTTTTCAAAAAGGAAAATTCAGAAATTCTCTGTCTGGTAGACTAATAAAAGACTTGCTTCAGGCAAATCAAAACCGATGGCGAAATAATTCCTGTTAGCAAACTGTCAGACTGAAGCTAATTTGAATATGTCGTCGTTTACTGTACAAATAAAATACACTACTGTAGTAAACACTTAGAGTATTCTTTCTTCTTAATTCTTCTCGATTACACATGACACGTAATCTGACAAACAAATTTGATCAATCACTTTGGTTCAACGAACATATTTGAAAAGAATGTTTCAAGTAATTCAGAGAAATAAATGCAATACTTGGACTTTGACGAGGCCTTGTTTTTTTTAGCCGGATCAGGAAAAGAGCAAAAGAGAGAAATTTGTTTATATTGCATAGCTATGTGGTCAACTTTGATAAATAAATCGATTATTTTCGTAGTTTTGTTTTTAGATGAAACTGAAGTACAAGCTTGAAGACAAAACCGCATAAATTGATGAATTAAAGCAGAGAGACCTTTAACGATAAAATCAAAGGTTACTCCATCTACGCGGTTACCAAAAGAATTGACAAAGTCGCCCTCGATGCGACAAGAAAAGTACCAAGTGAATGTGTGGAAAACTCCCTAAAGATTTTAAATTATAGGTCTGAAGCGAAGAATGGTTTCGATTTTTTCGGAGTTCATCAAAACACATATTGGAAAATATTTTGCTCTGTGGGTGCGTAAATCTCATCTTTGAGCAATTGGCCTTGCGTCAATGTGGAACATGTAGAGATCGACCTTAAAAAAAATCAGTCCAAACTCTTAAAAAACGAGACCGTCAAAATTCCTCAAAGGAACTTTTAATCAATTTATCGGAAAATCAACATCAGATAAAAGTTTGTTTCACATGTGCGACAAGCTTACGCATAAACAAACCAGGCAAACATTATGGAGGAAAATTCTCTTACCTGCAAGTAACGTGCGGCTGAATTCCATACTTTTATACATATCTCATCGTTGAAGTGCGCCCGTCATACCCCAGTCAGGAATATTTCCCCTCTTACCAGAGCAAGAAACCGTCGGTTATTTTTCCATTATTGTTCCGGGAATAGCAGAGCAGTGTTGAAGTTCACTTATCGAGTACATTGAGAGCTGAATGATTGAGAATATCAAAACCGGTGAAAATCTTTCAATACAATGAACACAACCTAACACTCATGATACTTCCGAGACCATTTGATTTTCACAATATTTTCATAAGCCCAGGTTCTTGTTCCTACCAGTTCGTTTATAACATTGTTGTTAATCGATTTATGTTGATCAAAACTGACATATCTGCCACAAAGGTTTACTTTGGGTCTTGTGATTCATGCTGGTACCTTCTCATCTTTTGAATGCAAATATTCTCTGACTCGGATCTGAAGCGATCAACTCTTTTGCAATAAAGATAAATAAGATTAAACGTGAAGAAATTGTTTTCCAAATTAGATGTCGCCATATTCTCAATTCGTAATTTAGTTGCGTTGTAGGAAAAAGTTCTCATAATAAAGAATTGACGTCTTGAGTGCCGAAAAGAACAAAGTAGTAAGACTAGCCAAATGAGAACGAGCGTGACATACCTTAAAATTTATATGTAAATCTAACGTATAGTGATGCAGCTCATCTTGAATAAATGATTTCCTATGGGTCTGTTTTAATTCTGTTTAGAGACTGATGTGAATGATTGTACCTCAAATGAAGGTACGCATTGAATGTATTTGAAGTATCATTAATGGTTGTCATCACATTTGTTGTTGACAAAACAGTTAAAAAGAAAATGTCCGAACACTCTCCTCATCTTGTCTATCTTCCGTGACTGGATCGTCCCAGCAGTCTTTCCAGTTTAACTGTAGCAGTCAGAGGTTCCTTGAATTTCAGGCCTTATTTGCCGGTCATAAAGATTATACTGAACAATCTTACCACCAGTGGGCTGTCATGTTACGCAAAAAGTGTTTGGATACCTTGGTTCACAAGTCTAGTTTGTTGCGCGCGATTGCAGGACAAAACATTCAGCTGCTCCTTTCTCTTTGAGGTAAACGAAGAGTTTGAGCGCTGTTTTTATCGAATGTCTGTGATTCGTAGCCTGGGTCCATATCCAGTCACTGGCAGCAATTTGGAGAAAAGACGGCTTCAAAGAGAAATTTTCCTTCCATCACAAGTTTCAAAGCCAGCAAAGGTAGCGCCAGCTGATCAATATTAGCAGAAGAAAACAGAGTACATTATTGAGCAGTAATTCGTGCGATATTTATATATATATTTTAATCTTTTAAGAGCGAGATAGGTTGTGTTTGACGTATATGTCAATCACTGAAGTTTTGGTCTATTAAAAGATATTAGCTCGATTTGAGAAAAATTGGAAAATTTTGAATTTGCTCCAGTGCAACCAGGCCCTAATAGATTTAAGGAAGGCAATTCGATATTTACGGTAACTCGATTAATGAACGAACTTCTTAGCTGAATTACGTTTTAAAGTATTGATAAAGATCCACCGTTTGACCCAAACAATCACTTTCAGTTTCCTTACTGAAAATTGCTTTTTTGGAAACACCTCCCCTGATCTTCGCACATCTCCGGTTCGCCCGACCTTTCCGTTCCGTCCGCCCTGTTCCATCGTGTTCCTTACGGTTCCATTCCATCCTGTATTTATGATAAGCCATACGACTGGGAACGAGCATGTTACGTCAAAAAGTATAAAGGTTCGATGGACCAGCAACCATTCAGTTAGAACAAGAAATTTTAGACGATAATTTATCAGTGATCTTTGTAGAGCAGCAGCATGGCTTCTGAGGAATCTAATGACGCACATATTAGCACAGATCAAGGACAAAGTCCCTCAAACTCACGTTCCCCCGACGAACCTGAGCTGCCCTCGGTTCAATTTACCAACGACACTGCGAAACAAAACAAACCGGTTGAGTTGATTAGCATTGAACCCGTTGTTGATGGTAGAACTAGTGAAGGAAATCATAGCGGAAATGACCCCGATGAAGAACCCTCTAGGAAAACAGGGCTTTCCAAGTACAACTGGAAAAATTTCTTGCCCTTCGCACGAAGGTAAAATATGTCCTAACCTATAACAACTTGAGTGTATATATCGTATTTACTTAGATGTGTAAACTTACATTTATGAGGGATCAATTGTCGGTTGACTGAGTATCTTATCACTTTCCTTTGTTTCTTTTTGTTTGTGTCGATATCGTCTGTATTGGTCCCTCGTATTCCTACTCGTACACCACGTTTATTCTCCACCTCTACGGTAATAAATTATATCTTAGATGACACCCATTTCTTTTCGATCAAAAAGGTAACCCGCATTACAAAAAACCGCTATTGGAATTACTTTCAATTTGTCCATCAATTCTTTCATTTCCTAATGTTCGCGTGACAAGTTGCGCTTTCAAACGATTTGCATCTCTTGTTATTTCATAGAGGGAAGTCTGTTTATGTAGTTACTATAAAACTATATTCCACCATCGTATTCCTTTCACATACTCTAAAACGGAAAACCCCTCACCTGCTAGGCTGAAAATAAGGAAGAAAACTGCTTATGAAGAGGACAAGATAAATTACCTCAACTTCTTAAAAAGACATCACATTTTTCCAATAACATGCATGTAGATCACTGTGTAAGCTGTGTGAATGATTGAAAGAACTGTCTATTCCCCTGTAGTTTGAACCCTTTACACCCTAATATCAGTTTACAAGTTCTCCATACTGTTCTCCATAAATTTCTTAAGTGCTGACAAGGAGAATTTGTGTAAAAATCAAGAGCTTCTTAAGTTGGTGATCAATTCCTTTATTCTTGTGACCTAAATGTGATTCAGGGGTGATATTGTTAGAAGAAATTAGATTCTAGCCACTTTAAAGGGTCAGAGGGTTAAAACAAGTTTGTAGAGAGTAGGCTGAACACTGATATTGAACAGAAATGATTGATTTTGTTTTTTTTTAGGAATCCTTCTAAACCTGCAATTGACGAAGCAGGGTTTTTGTCACTGATGTTTTTGACCTGGGCGACTCCAGTCATCCGTAAAGGATTTAAAGGATCTTTAGAGTTGGAAGATTTCGATAAAATTTCCCCATATGAATCTGCAGAAGTCAATTTTAAGCGAGGAATAAGATTGTGGAATGAAGAAGTAAAAGAAAGAGGACTTGATAATGCAAGCATTGTCAGAGTTGTCGGAAGAGGAGTGAAAACAAGAATCTTTTTTGGCATTTTTTTTCTAATTTCATCCCAGCTTATCAGCTTCCTTGGCCCAGTGCGTAAAACTGCTTTAATTTATTTAATGACAACTTTGAAGGAGATTAGGTCTTTTAGCTTTTCTGGCATAAGTATTTTTGAATAAGTATGTTACTCATAGTGTGGTTATTTTAATCGTCCTATTTTAAACACATACTGACAGCTTACACTCATTGTATTGCCTAATCTTCCCAACTTATTTGGTAAATTGGCAAACAAATCATTATGTTAAGCAAAAACATGTCTGGACTTGGTTAATATAGGAAAACCTTGAATTTGGAAATGTTTTAAACTGCAACATGATTTTTGGCAGCCAAAAGATTTCACTAAAAAAGTTAACTGATGTAGTTCTCTATATAGTGTATTTGTACTTTCATCTGCAAAATTCAAAATTTTTATTTGAGTGGGTAATTCAAGAAGTGAAAAAATAGTTTGAACACAGCATTTTAACCTTTCTGATTTACTGTGCAATTTCTTTGGTATTTACACTCTTCAATTTGGCAATATCTTTTTCACATTTGTGTTAGATTAAGAAATGCTTTTGAAAATGGTTTATGTACTGTTAAGTAACATTTGTATCCCTTTATAACTATATTCTATAGGCAATCTTTGTGCGTAACATTCTGGAATATATAGAAGAAAAGGATTCATCTTCAAGACTGGAAGGAATTGGTTGGGTAGGTTATAGGACCTTTGACTTTTTCTTTTTCAGAAATATTTTTATGCATAAATGTAAAAGCCTGAAATCAGAGTGTTCAGAAATAGTCATCATAGAGCAATACTCCAAACAGAATTATAAAAATGGTATCCAGTGACATGTTGTTATTGTTTACTTTACTTTGTTATGAATAGTTTGAATATAAGGCTTTTCAATATCTTCATTTTGTTCTTTTTTTTTTCCTAACAGTGCAGTTTTGCTGCACAACAACTAAGAAAAAGGGGAAAAAGTTTAAAATTACAATCAAGTTTAACTCTTTAGCACAGGATCAAAAGTTTTCCCTTCCATGTTTTGACATAATATAAACTATACACTTTTACTGTCATTTTGTTTTTTGTCATTTTGATATTGATGAATTGCATTGTCTATTAGGTTATTGGGCTGCTATTGGCAGAAGTAGGGAGGAGTGTGTTCTTGTCAATGTCATTTTTCACAAATACTCGCACTGGAACCAGGGCTAGAGCTATGATTCTAACAATGGTTTATAACAAGGTTTCAAGACTAAGGAATGTGGGAGACAGGTCCATTGGAGAGGTATGAGAAATTATTTTCATTACAATTTGGATCAGTGTCTGCATCCTCCCCTAAAACAACAACAGTCAACTGATAACAAGTTAGGGTTAATGTTAGGTTAGGGGAGGGGCAGGTGTGAAATTGCTCAGATATGGACATTGATCCAATAATTTGACAATTACTCTATCATTTTTTTCTATTTGCAAGTGAACAGGAAATATTGAACTTCTCCTGTGATTCTTGAAATGACATTTTGAGTTAATCCCAGGTAGTTTTTCTTTTGATTGGAGTAAAAAGATTTTGTCAATTAAGAGTCAATATCAGAAGGATTTCCTTATGATATGGTAATCTGGTGTTGTACCCTCTCTGCTGCAGATAATTTACTGACAATTATATTTCAACCAAAAGTGTGCCTAAAAAAGTGAGGAATTTTTCACTCATAAAACTCATCCTTATTTGTACAGTTTGTGAACTTGTGTGCATCTGATGCAGACAGAGTCCATCAAGGTGTAGCCCTATGCAGCTTTGTTTTTGGTGAGAAAGTATATTGTTTGATATGGAGTATGACTGCTTTAGTGTTCAATGCCATTGTGATAGGTCGTTGTTTTCCACAAGCTGTAAAAATTAATATTTCAAGCTCTGCATTTATGCTCTTTTGTGTACCATTTATAAACATTATTCCGTAGACCTGGTAATTAACTCCTGCACCCAGTTGTTCAAAGGGGGTATAATGCCATCCAATTATTAAATAACTATCAAGCAGATAAATATTTACAAAATGTACTGCACTACCTGATAGAGATTTATTCATTGGCTAGCATTTTCCACCAATCAAACAAGTGGGACCTGGAGTTTAAGTTTGGGTCATAAAAAATTAGCTAGCCCTATTAATCATGATGTACATTTGATTTGACTCTCAACAAATCTCCATTGATTATAATCCATCCGTGCTCCTGTTGTTGATACTGTGTGAAACATGCTGGCTTATTGGATCCAGGTTTAGCTGGATCATTGTGCCACATCCTTGGTTAGGATATCTTATTCTCCTAACATCTCCCCATTCAGGAGTATAAATGGGTGAGAGAACTGCCAGGGAAAACTGAAGAAATGCTGGGGAAAAAACTTTTGGCTTCTCATTTAGTGAGGAATTGTATTTTCTCCAAGTTGCTTCCATGATACTTAAATCATATTAAAAGGCCTGACAATGAACTTTTTAGTTTCTCAGCTGACAAATATTTACAGCTGTAACAAGACACTTTTGGTTTTAAATTTTCAGGTTTTCCAGTTGTCATCACATGTACAATCATTTACACAGTTATTTATATTGGCCCATCGGCTTTGATAGGATGTGGGATATTTCTTCTGTTTTTTCCTATCCAGGTAACATAATAAAAAAAGTATGAAACAGTGGTGCAATATGAAATAATATAAATGTGTAGATGTCCTATTTGTCTTTGCCTCTCCTCAACATTTAACTGTAAGTGATGCATGCAGTCTGAAAATTATAAAAACTTTTTCGGCGATTTTAACATCTATAATTATGTTACTTTTGTTTTTGTCAGGCTGTTATTGGTAAACTTCAAGGAAAATTTCGCACCAAAGTAGTTAAAGTGTCAGATCAGAGGGTAGGTGCAAAATTTTACATTCTGTAGAATAACAGTCACCAAATTAGTGTATGATTATAAAATGAATTTTAGCATCAACATGTACTGCATATTTTATCCCTGAGCAGTTAAGAGAGCAACTTACAACAGCAACATGTTGTATGTTCTCTATCCTTCTCCACCTCTCTTGATGCAGACAATTAACATTCATGTACAGTTACCTATCCCTCTTAAACTTCTTTCGTCAGCTAACGACATTTAAGCCATGTGAGACAAGTTTCAGTCCTTATGCATCATATTTAGACCCTTATAGCCCTTATTTACATGATTCTAACCCAAACTATGGTTTTATGCAAGCAGTGGACCTCAGGCTTTCTCAATAAGAGGGTTGATTTAATTTAGGAAATGTCCTTCCACTGTTAGCATTCAGGTGTTTTGACACTTTTCACAGGAATAAATGTTCAGTTTAAAGGTCCAGCTAACTTGAGAATTGTTTAGGATACAGTTTTGTCAACCAATGGCTAAAATTCATTGAAATAACCAGCCCTTTGTGTTGGTCTGATATGGTGCTTAAACCCATGACCTCTTACATGGCATCCCAGTGCTCTCCCAGTTGAGCCAATCAGGCAACAGTTCTGAAGTGGTTTTCACACTGAATGTGCGATATTAGGGTTGTAATGTTCCCTACTTGAGATATTTCTGCACTCAGTACCTCCCTCTAACTAAGAGCAGTAGAATTAGTGAGCCAGGGAGTTTGCAAAATTAAATTAGATTAAGTCAATACATGCTAATTTCTTTTTTTTTGCTACTTACTAAAGATGACTTAACTTTTGTAGTTTTTTTTTTTTTTAAATTCCTCATTTATAGAGAATTATACCTGATGCAGACAAAATTTTCTGGTGCAACCACCTATATACCACACAATGTATTTTGTCCCCAAGTTTGACCAACATGGAAGTGATTCAACTTTGTGTTTATGTATTCCTCTTTTAAGGTCCGAATGATGAATGAAATATTGAACTGTATCAAACTTATCAAGATGTATGCTTGGGAGAAGTCATTTGCTAAAGCAATAAGTGGTATGGGTGTGGTCATTTTTTAAATAGCTGATCATTTTCAGTTACTTGATCCACGGGTTCACTAGTCCTGTAGGTCAAGTCATTGACACCTTCTTGTCAGACATGTCAGTTGTGATTCACAATTTCTGTCCAGGAGCATTGATCTAACACTCTCAGGACTGAAAAAAATCAGTCTATTGCCAAACAGAGGGTGAATAAATGTGTGGCAGACACACAGCAGCTCTACTTTTGAGATGGTTAGAGTGTAGGTAAAAACTTGCATAATGGAGCAATCACTTGTCTATAAACCTAAAAAAGTGATCAAAGTAGATTACACTCAGTGTTTTTAAGAATAAGTCCTTCTCCAGTAAAATGTGCAGGAATCCATTTGATACAGATCCTATTGGACAGCAGCAGTGTAAAAGGACACAATGTTCCTAACTAACAGTCGAACTCAGTCCTTTCTATTCATAATCTTGCATTTAGTCTCCATGTTTCTTACTGCAGTTCAGTTCTAGCATGGTAATCACTATTGGCACTGATGTCTATGTAGTGGAGGTGTTTTGAACAATCATTAATTTGCTTTTTATTCTTTGTTTTTCTAGGTATTCGTCATCAGGAGAGAAAGCACCTCATGAAGAGTGCTTTTCTCCAAGGGTTAAACATCTCCATGGCATTAATTGTCCCAACTATTGCCACTGTAGCAACATTCAGTGTACATGTTGCTACTGGCAAGAATCTCACTACTTCACAAGTAATTAATTATTTATTAATCATTTAGTAATTATAAATTCATCTTTAATCTTCACAATTAATTAATTTAATCACAGGTATGAGTGTTTCTTGTTTATATGGGTATGTTATGGTTCAAAGCAAGTTCTCCATGTTGCATTTGTGTTCCACCAATATGACACCAATACAAGGCCAGCACAGCCTCCTATACCCATCAAACAGGCTTACTTAACAAAGGATTAGACTTTTTGATAATAATAATAATAATCAAAATTTTTTTAAATCAAACTGTCAAATGGATGATGCAACCACAACAATAACAATGATAGTAATAATAACAATAATAATGATATTTATAATAACAATGATTATAATAATAATGTGGAAAATATTGTCTCAGTGAATAGAAAAATACTTTTGCACCAATCATTGTTTCCCCTGTCTTAGGATGGAGGGATCAGGAATTTTTTGACTCCTTTGCAGATGAAACTGCCAAACAAATTATTTTAAGGCTGAGAAGTACAATGTAAGAAGTATCTATTTGGATGAAAAATAAGTAGACCCATTTTACCTGCTCAGGCAGCCAATGAGAATACAGGATGGGTTTTGTCTTTCTTACTTAAGGAGTGCATTGCCTTAGAGACACTAGTGCTTGTCTTATGGTACCTCCGCCATTTTTAGGCTGTTTTGGTTGCCGTTAGTTTTACATGTAGCTTCCACTATAAGCTGTCAAAGTGGCAAGCGGTCGGTATTAGGGAATTATTATTTGCTTTTACCACATAGATTATATTTGATGCTATGATAACATCCTTTTCTCCAGGCATTCACGGTGACGACGCTCTTCAATGTTTTGGTGTTTTCTTTGGCCATTTTACCATTTGGGATAAGATCTCTGGCTGAAGGGAGGATTGCACTGAAAAGACTTCGGGTATGCATCTTAGTGTTGAAACTGTAACCAAATGTCATCAAAGAGCCCACTGGAAATCATCTTTTGTAAGAACACTCAAGCAATCCAGCATGATCTATTTTAATTAGATCTAACTGGAAAGTGTTTATGAGAATATGAAAATACCAGTTTGCTCATTATTTAATCCCAAAATTTCACGATGTCTTACAACTCAAGAGTGTAAAAAGCCCCGACTAATTGAAACAGACGTTCAACAAGGTGAACTAATTTTATGTCCTGATCAATCTGATGATATTATTATCTTTAATTTGCAGCTCTTTAAACTAATCACACTATTACAGTAATTGCATGCTAAATGCTAACTCGTTATTTGGTTAAATTTTTTAGAGTTTGATGGTAATGGAAGAACTTCAGCCTTTTGTTGAAAGACCAGCCGACCCTCAAGTGTCTCTCTCAATATTAGGAGCTACCTTTGCCTGGGACAAGGTACCGTTTAACTGGTGTGAAAAGAAGTGTTTGTGCTACTAAGAAAAAAAAAAGAGACGGAGAAACATATCAATTAGTGCCAAGTTGATGTTTAATAGCTTCGTGGACTCTTTTCTTTAAACCCGGAAATCTTTTTATACTTAAAACCTTTTAAAAAACTTTTATCTCATCGACATGGGTTATACCGGATTTAATAGCGTCAGGCAGCTATAAACCCAGACCTCTTGGGCAACGAGCTTCGGCAAAACAGCATGTTTAAAAGAGTCTCGTGAAAAGAGGTCCCCATTACCAAAGAAATCTTTATAATCTATGTCAAATATGTGTCTGTCGTTTATAGGTGCACTCCTATGAGGTTAAGGAACAGAACGGAGAAGGTGCTGAAAAAGCCGGACAGGATGGTAAGTTTATAATTTCTGCACAAAATTTCCTGGCTCTACAGGTCTAATTTACGCATTTATTATTTTGTGGGCCTAAAAGAGGAATTTGGAACAAAACGATTTGCATAAAATTAGAAGCATACGGATGAGTAACCCAGTCCTGGATTGACGATTTCCTTTAACGGAATGCACCGTAGAACTGAAAGTTACATTTACAGGAAATTAAGTATGATAACGATTATCACAGATGTCTTAATTGTTCGTTCCAATTTGAGCAAAGTACTTCGTGTGTTTTGAAACTCTGGTCTCGGAGATCCCTTTGTCAAGTTCGAAAAACCGTAAATGGCAGGTTCTGACGTTTGTAGGTTTGAAGCTTCTTGAGGAAGGGCGTGACAATACTACAAAGAAAGGGTCTAAACAGGGTGGGCCCCGTGGGCGTGGCCCTGTTGAAGTGCGAACCACACTGGAGTCAACATTGTTTGACATCGATCTCACTGTCAACAAGGTATCTTTGTGTATTCTACTTTTTTATATTTGAGTATCTTTAAGTATTTCACAGAATTAGTTACACGAAGTTTAATTGCCGACTTGGCGGCTTATTTTGCGTTTCTTTTTTATCTATCTTTTATTCATTTGTCTTTTTAACAGAAAACCTTGATTGGTGTTTGTGGAAGCGTGGGGAGTGGTAAAAGCTCCCTCTTGCAAGCTCTCCTTGGCCAGGTTCGTCATGCTAAGAAGACTAGAAAATCGCTCGCTGTCTACTTCAACCGTTAAATCGCCATTTCGACTTAAGCGCTAGACTACTGGAAAGGAGGCACTTACTAGTCCATGACTAATCATTCAATTACTTAAAGGATGTATTCACAGATAGCGAGGAAAGACGCAGAGGCATTTTATTCTTTTCACTTTCTGAGCTTTGTGAAAAAGATATCGACATTACTAACCCAAACAACAAGACATTGTGTGCTTCCTTGATCACTGAATGGAAGAGGTCTTTGCATTTATTGCTGTAGTGTATGAAATAAAGTTGTATTAATTCATTGCACTGCATAAGTAACACTTAGTCCTAGATGCATAAATATAATGCATGTTGCTTTTCAGATGAGGATTCAGAAGGGGAATGTTACCATTGGTGGATCCATTGCGTACGTCGCTCAACAGGTAAGTAACGTGCCAAAGTGTCTCCGGTACAAATCAGTACCATGTGACTGTACCTCCTGTTAGTATCGTGTGACTGTACCTCCAAAACAGAATAGTGCTGTCTGACTTTACTTCCAGTACTTTACATTAATGTAAAGACTACGAGAAAAATCACCAAACCTGTTCATCTAACGTCTCAATCTACTTTCATGTCAGCTTGCGACTGAATTCGGCCTTATACCTCGCGCGATGATCATGTTCACAATCAATTAAGTGTATCCGCTGCATTGCACCTAACATGCGCATTACTTGCACCCCAGGCTTGGATTATGAACGCCACAGTAAAGGAGAACATTTTATTGGGAAAACCTTACAATGATTCAAGGTTAGTGAACCAACTTTACATTGCGTTCTTACGAGCCATACAGACAAACTTATAAGTGGTGTGTGATATTTGGTCGCTTTTCTTTCTGTGTCCATCTTCCGGTTAAAAAAAAAAATTCAAGTGGAAACCAACTGACCTCGCTTTATGAGTCAGGCTTAGAAGGGAGGGGATCAGTAGACCAGAAATCGATGGCTTGCTAGGAGTAGCGATGCAAATGTGCTGTGTTGATAATGATTTTATTTTATTTTCACGTTTTATTTCAGATATAAAACTGCCCGTTTTGCCTGTAGTTTGGAGCAGGACCTTAAAATATTACCCAATGGTGATGAAACGGAGGTGAAAATTACCTTCTTCTCGCGTTTTTTAATGTTTCGGTAAAATGTTTTTTAGGTGACAAAATGTTACGACTGACTCTTAAACCTTCTTTGTTTGTGGAAAGTGTAGGCTTCAGTTCGATGGCGAACGAAAGGAAGAAATTTTAGTATGGAACATGGATATTTAACCAAAGGGATAGATTACCTGATGAGTATTAGAGCAATTTTCAACTAAATCTCGAAAGTGATTCGGGATTACATCGGTAAAAATGATCTTCATTCCGCTATGTGATTGGTCTTCACACCTCTACCCTTCAGCCAACCAGAAGAAAAAATTGAATGGTTCCGGCCCTCTCCACGCGCTAACCGCTTCGCTTTGTTTGGTTTGAGTTCTCATTACCTCGTTGAGACATTTAACTTTGTTTAGTAATAGCGTTTGGTTTTGATTTTTCGACAATCATGCAAATTTCACTCTTCCATGATGATTTCTTTATGTCTTCATGCTGAAGATTGGTGAACGCGGAATTAATCTCAGTGGTGGACAGAAGCAGAGAATCAGTTTAGCAAGAGCCCTGTACTATGACATGGTGAGATGATCATTCTGTTTTGAAAAGCGAAACATGTACAGTTTTCGTCATTCTTTATGACTGTGTCTTATTTGTGTTCATGTAGGATATATATTTGTTAGATGATCCACTGAGTGCAGTTGACGCGCATGTTGGACAGCACATTTTCAAGCACTGTATCAAAGGAGCCCTTTGGAATAAAACCATTATTTTTGCAACACATCAGCTACAGGTACGTTAGGTTGTTACTTTGCAGTGTGGGCACGAGTCTGTTTTGGGGCGAGTTAGAATGGATATCTACGATAACAAAGCAGGTCACCAGCTTGTCAACCCACTGAGTCGGGATTCTATTAAATGAGGTAGAAATATGCCTAATGTATGTAGTTTTCCAGAACTGGAGAGGAATGGAAAATAGTTTGAAATTTTCAACTGGTTTATTTCTGGCTGAAATGTTCCTTTTTTTATGTCGAATTTCATATAATATGTTGATGGAGTCAAAATCAAGGTGGTTCTTAAACATTGTAACGCTCTTTTTGTGCTCGAAATGCATTTTGGTTACTTTGTGTGTCTGGAAAAAGGAGGCAAATTGCTTGAAGAAGTCTCTAATTTTGCCAAAAAAGAACGAGTCAAAACCCTGGAATGGTACACAGAATTAATTTTCAGTCGGAGATTTTTATATGAATGCCTAAGGTGAAATGTCTGTGTAAAGGTTGGCATTTGATAGCCTTTGTTCTGTTATTACGGTGCACTATGAGCTGCATGTTTTATTCTTTGTTTGCAGTACTTGAGTCAGTGTGATGTCGTGTTATACATGAAAAGTGGCAAGATTGCTGAAAGAGGGACCTATGAAGAACTTATACGCAATAATGGGGTAACAGCTCTTTTGTTTATACTCAAATATTGAGCGGGTTTTTTAATTCGTTTGTGAATTTTTCGTAATTTTTGTTTTATAGTGTGTCCCCTTAAGTTAAAAAAAATAAATTGCTCACGATAACAGATGATTTCTTCAACCTTAAAGCGTAGTAGCTTTAACTGTTGATCTTTTTATAATTATTTTAATATGCAGTGAAAGCCTCTGGATGCATTAAAAAATTACAAGTTAGGGTGTGACTACGTGATCCATCTGCTAAACAAGAATTCTAACGTAAAAGGTCTAAAAATTATGAATATATAAATAAAAGTTCTTCATAACTAAAAAATTCTCTAAAAGTTTTAATGAAATGTTGCAATTTTTATGATGTCGTGATTTTGAACACTCTGTCTATGTTCAGAGTGGTGCATAGTACTGCTTTCCGCATTCTTTCCAAAACTTGCTTTCCTGCTTTTCCATAGATGCTTGTCATATCTCCGTCTTCAGATCATCTTCGCCCGCCCACCACATCTATGATAACATTTAGCTGGGCGATCTTGTACCCCTCTATTGTTGTTGATATTATTATTATTATTATTATTATTATTATTATTATTATTATCATCGTCATCATCATCATCATCATCATTATTTTTATTATTTTTTTAAAGGAATTTGCCACCTTGATTCGCCTGTTCATCAGAGAAGTCGAAGAGGAGCTTCTTGAAGACGAAGAGGACGCATTTCTTCCCACTCCTGATGCACAACAAAAACCAGACAGTCCTACCACGCCATTATCACCAGATGGCATCCGCAAACTTGTTGAAAGGACACTGTCAGTTGGTCAAAGGAATAATTCTACTCGAGACAGTTTCACGGATGGCAACTTTGAGCCCTTCAAACTCAACAATCGAATTAGCAGACGTTCCCGTGGCAGTGCCAAACGGCGAAGTTCGAAGAAGAGTGGACTGGAGGTTGAGGCGGCTGCTAGGAGAGAGGTGGATGAAAAGGAGAGACGTCAGCAAGGTAACCGGCTGCCTCTGGAAATAACAAATAATGATGAAATCGTGAGCTTCGCATTAAATAATCACCTTGCTTGGTGACCTCGCCTGGAAATCTGATACGAAATTACTCACTCATCATCGAAAATAGACCGTTCAGTTTAGTTTTTATACTGCGATGAGCCCTCCTTAATATTTGCCCACGCCTGTGTTTTTTTGCATGATGCCTCTTTCGGTGCAGGTATAAGCAAACAGAAGTATAAAATAGCCACGAAGAGAGCATCAGCTCATGAAATGGGAATTGACTGGTAGTCCAATATTTTTGTGGTTTTCAATTTGTCTGGTCTAAGTTAGTGACAATCGTTTAACAGATTTCATTTTTGATCACAGCTGGCAAACTTATTCAACAAGAAGATCGAGCTGAAGGAGCAGTGACATTTGAAACTTACAAGACCTACATGAAGTCTGCTGGAGGTTGGTTGATTCAGTGGGACCCGCTTCAAACTTTTTACAAGCAGAAAATTTTTATCTTCGTTTGGTTCCTCTATTAACCATGCAAACTTGAATTTTTTATTTAGAACCGGGAGAGCAGATTGACAATGTAAACTAAAAAACATATACCCTTGCTGATGAGAAGTTGTTTTTCACTAAATATGGCGATGTTGTCGTCGCCTCAGGCTGTTCATGTGGGCAGTATTAATATGAACTAGTCTTAGAGCAGACTATTCAGACCAGCCGAAGTGGCAAAAATATCTCGACAGTTTTCAAGATGTTTTTTTACAACAGGGATTGATCTTTCCTCTTCTTCCGCTGTTGAATGAATGTTGAATGAATGTTGAATGAATGTTGAATGAATGTTGAATGAATGTTGAATGAATGTTGAATGAATGTTGAATGAATGTTGAATGAATGTTGAATGAATGTTGCTGTAATTGGCCGAAATTGTCCCAATAACCGTTATGACTTTGTGGAGCGATATTCTTCTCTAGTGGGTAGTATAGTTTGCTTAGGTGATTACGGAAGCTGAGGCCAAGGGACGGCGAAAGACACTTTTGTGTTTATTTTGTAGGTTATTGTATATTTCTGTTCCTGATGTTATTTGTGACGGCTTGTCTCTGTGGACAGTTGTTTATTGATACGTGGCTCGGCATCTGGCTGAATGCAGCATCTGAACAGGTTAGTTTTACATGTCTCGTGCTACTCATTACCTCAGCAAACCCGAAAAGTGGGATTCTTCAATTGCTTGTCTCAGGTAATGTGAGATGGCATTTACTTTCCTTCACTCCACTCAACCAATAGGAAAAAAGCATTATTTCTTTCGTTTTCCCTCCTTTTACCACGCTGAAGCTTTTCAAAACCCACTCAATATTCCTAATATACCTAGGAAGATAAAATATGCTTTACTTGCGGTTGATGTATTCACATTTATTTTCAGAAATTTCTTAATATAACTCCGGAAAAATCCGGCATCATAGCCGGAAATCCTACTAACAACTTCTACATCATGGTGTACACCCTTTCTGCTGTGGGATTCTTCTTAGGAATCTTGATTAAATCCTACCTGATGGTCCACTTCACGCTCAAATCATCCTCACATCTCCACGACAAAGTGTTTCACAAAGTTTGTCGCGCTCCAATGGCATTCTTCGACACCACACCCACTGGAAGGATTCTGAACAGGTTCTCGAAAGATCTTGATGAAATAGACATACATCTTCCTTTCAACGTTGACGCATCGTCACTAAACATTGTTCGTATTTTTATTTCAATCGGCATGATCGCCACAGTGTTTCCATGGTTTCTTCTGGGTCTGGCTCCCCTGGTTGTAGTTTTTATCCTGATTAATGTGGTTTTTAACCGATCGTCTCGGCAGCTCAAGCGCATGGATGGAATAACTCGCTCGCCAATCTATTCACATATAACCGCCACGGTACAAGGTCTGTCCACTCTACACGCTTACAATAAGATGACCGAGTTCAACGCAGTTTTTAAACGCTACCTTGATCAGAATACAAGGCCCTTTTTCATGTTTTTCTGCGCGCAGCGCTGGTTGGCGGTTCGTCTTGACATGCTGACAATCTGTATAGTTGGCATAGCAGGTCTGATGGTGGTGCTTATCAAGGGAACTCTACCTCCAGCATTTTTAGGTCTTGTGTTGACATACTCGCTGAGGGTAAGAAAGCTTAAGGTCAACATTATTATGTCATGAGACAAATTAGTCCTTAGTTGCAACACTCATCTAAAGAAATTTCAGAAAATAAAGCCTGAGGGAAGAATTCGGAAGTGGACAGTTCTTGAACACGACTTAACAGAGATACAAAGCCATCTGTTGAAACGGAGACTAATTTAGCGGATTCTTTGCTACCCGCAATGGTATCTAGGAGGAATGGGTGTAAGCCTAGTACAGGCCTTAGTTTATGTAATTGCGTTAAGTCTTCTTAATATGTGCAGATCAAATCGTCACTTTCCAAATTCTACGCGGTGTAAATAGCTACATATGTACGAAAATTGCAGGAACACGCTAGCCATCTGTAACTTACCTACCAACCACAAATCACAGGATTGCAAGAAACTTTGCGCAACTCTTTCATTACATTCTCCTCTTTGGACATTCAGTTTTTTCCCATACCTTGAAGCTGATTTCAAGGCAATTGTCCGTATGTTTCGTAAGTTTGAGCTTCATAGAGCTCAGAGTCGTTCTGCAGACTGCTTGGATCAAAAATGTGGAAAGCACCATGTGTGTAAACAGAATTAGAAAGACCGTAGATTTTGAATTCGTTAAATAGAGAAAGATGTTTTTCAGTCTTAACACGAGCATGGAACAACGCTGCCACGCTCGCAATGGTCTGGCTTACCTTAGATTATCTGTGGTTCGGTCGTAATGTATCAAAACGCAGAATCTGAAGGTCTGAGGTTCGATTCCTCATGAGGAATTTTTCTTTTGTTCCACGCTCGAGACTAGACGAAAACAAAAAAATCGTTCTCAATAATCAGAGTCTCTTGGTAACACGTTTTTCCCTTTACTATGTATAGATGACATCCTTGCTCCAGTTCACTGTCCGACAGGTGGCGGAAACAGAGGCGCGGTTCACAAGCGTCGAGCGAATCAGCTATTATATCCGCTCTGTGCCCAGTGAAGCTGAACTGGAAATCCCGGATAGGAAACCTGCACCTGATTGGCCAAATGGTGGAGTGATAAAGATGTCAGGTGTTAAGGTAAGGAGACCGTTGTCCTGTTGGATATGCTCAAGTATTTGGCGTATTCAGAATATTTTCAGTTCGTATAACTTTGTCAATAAGCGAAAGAGTCAGACAATGGGTTGGCAAATGGATGCTTTTGATCTTGGTTTGGGTCCGTCTGTTCACATTTAACTCTCCTATACTCGCCCTAACCTGGAATGTAACTAATAAAGAGATTACATGCTGCCCTGGGTCGGCACAATGATAGTTTATAGATGACATAAAAGTGTGGTAGGAACCACTGATGTTCCTGCCGCATACTGACGTCTGCCGCATATTAATTTACAGAACCAAGACAATATGGAATCAATTCGTTTCATCTGATTAAAAAATCTGACCTTGACCTTCCATAGATCATAAGTTAGAACCAATCAAAAGGCGTTTATAACTTAGTTTATCATATAAATGGTTACCGAAGTATTGTATAGTCTGGAAATCTAACCACAAAGAGAAATTAATTCCCCTTACCCTTATGGAAAAATAGGTCTACTGTAAGGGGTCTTTTATATGTAGGAAAACGACTGCCTGGTTATTGTAGCCCGGCAGCAGCGTCAAAGTCATGCCTTTGTAACTCTGTTACCTTCATAAAATACAAAAAGAAACTCAAGATAGCTTTTACGTTGGACAGATGCGATATCGCGATGGGTTGCCTCTGGTGTTGGACGATATCACCTTTGAAATCCGGACATGTGAGAAGATTGGCATTGTCGGTCGAACAGGCTCTGGTAAATCCTCCCTCGGGGTGTTGCTATGGCGATTAGTTGAGCCTGAGCAGGGCAGCATGCATATTGATGATGTCGACATACGTCAAATAGGTTTGTATAACAGTTATTAACCATATTATGGCTGTTTGAAATGGCTTTTCGTTTTAGGAAAACGTAAAAATGCCCTTCTTTTTCTTGATTAGAGCTGGATCCCATCGACTTCTACCCCATTAACCGCTTTCATAATGGTGGACATGATTGTTATTATTTTATGAGCATGCAAAAAAACGTTTTTGGCCGTACTTTTGAGTGAAAATTAGATTTTTGTCAAGGTCTGCCAGGCAAATGTGGCAATTAAGCCATTTATGAATAAAGGTTTATAAGCATATTTGAAATCTAAGTGGCATTGCGCAGAGTAAATTATTCAACCATCATAAACAAGAGGTTTGGTCAGGTTTTCATGGCAGTGTCTTTTTGTGTTGGCATTTATTTTGTGGTACGGTTGGGGCTCCTTTGTTAACCTATTTAACCTTTAACCTCTTCTGTGATCTAAAAAATTTCGAGCGGCATGATTGCCACAGTGTTTCTATGGTTTCTTCTGGGTCTGGCTCCCCTGGTTGTAGTTTTTATCCTGATTAATGTGGTTTTTAACCGATCGTCTCGGCAGCTCAAGCGCATGGATGGAATAACTCGCTCGCCAAAGCGATTTGTTGGGGTCAAACGACTTTTGTAGGCCTATGACAATTTTATGAAATTTCGACAGCTTTTTTTTTGCGGCGGGTCTGTCATTCTGGAAGTTGAAATCCTTTCCTTTTAAAATTTTAAAGGGCTGGTTATTTAAACTAAGTTTAGCCGTTGTTTAACAATACTGCGTTCTGAACTGTCTACGATTTAGCCGAACCTTTTGATCTGAAGGTTAATTTTGCTACCAGTGGAGTGACATTCATTTAATTTACTCAACCCTTTTATAGAGAATCTCTAAGGCCAACCGCTTTTGTTTAACCGTGGTTTGAGTCAGACCTCGTGTAAATAACCGGTTCTTTAAGTTTAGAGACTATACGAAACGAGATTAGCCATTATTTAGTGACATGCAGATTCATAAAAAAAAGACAACAACAACGAGAGATATAATTTAAACCATCTTCCAGGTTTGGAAGATCTTCGCTCCAGAATATCAATCATCCCTCAGGACCCAGTGCTATTTGTGGGTACTGTCAGGTAAATTATTTCTTCTTACGCTGTATTGGCATCTGCTGTTCTTTCGTTTTGCATTGTTTCGCTGTTGTTTTTTTCACTTAAAAATCTTTTCTTTTCAGGTACAACTTGGATCCATTCAAAGAACACAGTGACAATGAAATATGGACTGCCCTCGAGAGAGCACATTTACGAGAAACGGTGGGTCCTTCCTGTAACGACGTTTTATGAGTGAAATTTGAGGTGGCTGGATATCCGTGTATTTGCGTGAGGCTGATCGAAAACCTAACGTCTTACCAAGAAAATAAAACGCTAGACGGCAGCGTTTCTTTTGTATTACACTTTAAGACAGCAAAAACAAAAACAACCTGCAGAATATATTTTTTAACCTCTCAGTATGCATTTTTTTGGAGTCCTTTACTTTCCTTGTTTAACTTATGTAAACTTAAGACAGATGTTCGACGGTGAGCTTAAAATTTACCATCTTTCTTAATCTATTCAAACAGACGATATTTTCGGCATAGCTGTTGTTGCAGTATACAACTAGGACGATTTTGAATTCGAGCTTATGGCCTCGCTCGCCAACAAGTTCTCTGTAGCTCAGTTGGCAGATCATCTGATAGCGAAATCCAAGGATCCTTCGCTTGAAAGAAGAGGCACTATTCATTCCGCTACATATGCAGAGCGTATGTGAAACTGACAAATGTGCTTTCCAGTTGACCATGTACATAAAGCGTGACCTTACTTGACCAAAAGTTTAAAAATACAAAGTCAGTTCGGTGACCTCGACTTCATACCTCTTCATCTTTCATTTCCCGAGTTCAGTGGCTCGCTGCCTCTTTGATTTTTAATCTCTTAAACTTGTTTGGTTTACTGACAGCATGGCCTCAACCAACTGACATCCTAACATAGTTACCTTTCGTATGGCTCACTTTCTATAGGATGTCTATACACGTTGACATAATTTACTGCAAATGTATCAGTTGAGGTTTGATCATTCATTTCAGGTGGACAGTTTGCCTGCTCAGCTCATGGCACCAGTCTCTGAAAATGGCGAAAACTTCTCCGTGGGTGAACGTCAGTTGATCTGTATGGCGAGAGCTTTGCTGAGGAATAGCAAGGTTAGTTTCAATGAATCAGAACCGAATATTATCAATATTTGCTCTTAGTATATACCACAGAAGTTAAAAGTGATTTTCGCGTGCTCTGATTGGCTGGTTAGGAAATGAGTAGCAACTACCATTTACCTCCGAGTATATAATAAAACAATTACAGGTTTACCTCAGTGACGGTTTATTGGAAAATGGAAAAGTGTCAACAAAGGTACCACCCAAGGAAGTGTCAGCGGGCCGCACTTGTTCAATGTCTTTCTCAGTGATTTAGAGATACACTTGGACAATAAGAGCGTGCTGGTAAAATATGCAGATGATACAACCATTATCTCGCCTGTGATAGGTGATAATGACAATTCTATCGCACTGATTAATCAGTTTTCCCAGTGGTCTAGAAGTAATGGTATGTGTAGCAATCCATCTAAGTGCAAGGAAATCATTTTCCGCAAGAAAGGTTGTACAATAGAGTTTCCGATGGTGTCTGGAATACCACAGACAAAAGAGCTTACTATTTTAGGGGTAACATTTCAGGAAGACAGTAGGTTCATAACACATATTCGGGAAAAACTAATTAAAGCAAACAAGTGCCTGTTCATTTTAAGATCTTTAAGGAAAGAAGGGTACAATCAGGCCGAAATAGACCATCTGTTTCTAAATCTGGTTCTACCAAATATATTATACGGGTTGTCCGTATTTGGCGCTGTAAATTCCGAATTAACAACAATCCAATGTTTCTTAGATCGATGTTATAAGCGCAAGTATACATCCGATCACATTAATGTTTATGAATTGTTAGTTCAACAGGACACGCGTATCTTCAAGAATGTTTTTAATAATACAATACACCCTTTAAGAGCTATAATGCCAAAAAAGAAATTAACCAAGTACAATCTGAGGAAAGAGACAAGTCACCATCCTAAAATAAACACTGATAGGTTCAAAAACACGTTTGTTAATCGCTTAATTTTTAAACATAATCTAGTCTTATAATTTTTATCTTGATTTTCTCTGTAATTTATATATATACCTTCTTTTAATGTTGTAACATAGGATATGTGATTATTTATCTTATGACTTAATAAAGATTCAAGAAGAAGAAGAAGAATGTGGTGGATATTTACCTCGCCGCTTAGCGGAACAATGAATTATTGTTAATTATAGCAACTGTCTTCATTGGATAATAGTTGCACACTTTGTGATAATTTTCCACGTGTTTCTCTGTTATCTTCCTGTTAATGTAAGTTTTTTATTTAAACAGATTCTATTACTAGACGAAGCTACAGCTTCAATTGATCCTGAAACAGGTAAAACATGATTTGCTTTTCGAATGCTTTGTTCCAAGTCTTTTTTTCGTTAATTTTCATGTAGCTCAACCACAATGTTGGTCAATGTTACACGTACTTCAGCTCACTGTAATGAACTTTGAGTAGGGCAATTTTTATTTTTGAAAAACAAAAGCGTTCCCAGTTTTCTTCCTTAGAGCACAAAAGAAGTAACATCGACGCTGTATTGTTGCCTTATTTTCTCGATCACTACTGCAAGAGTTAGAAATAAGCTTCCTTAGTTTTTTCTTTGTTTTAATTGAGGATCTAATTTACTTTCTCCAGACTCAAAGATTCAAGACACGATCCGTGAGTCGTTTAAGCACTGCACTCTTCTCACGATAGCTCATCGCTTGCACACAGTAATGGATTCTGATCGGATCCTTGTCATGGATCATGGGAAGGTCAGTATGAAAAAACAGAGCTGCTTGAACCTCTGCTTGTGATCTGTAGTGATCTAGCTTAAGTGATAGACGAAGTTCGTTAAGGCGTGCAGGAATTACAATTAACTTTCAGCAAAATAAGACAGATGCTGTTCTGAAAAGGGAAAAAACTGAAATTTCGAGAGACATGAAGCCATGTAGCTCAATACATGCTAAAGTGCTCGTCGTTTGTTAAGAGAGATCAAACTTCGGTGTTTTGATCAGTTTTTTTTACAAGTTGATTTCTTTCCAGATTGCAGAATTTGACACTCCAGCTGCTTTGCTTGCAAATCCAGACTCCAGTTTCAGTAAACTAGTGCAGGCCATGGAAATATCAGAAGAGGATCATTATCTTGTTGAGTAAATATAACACCATAGATGGCTCAACTCACGCATCCGGTGAAGTCAAATCACAGTTTGACATGAGAAGTCGAAATCCAGATTTCATTTGTACAGATACAAATGGTGAGACTTGGGTTGTAAGAGAGACCAGAAATGGTACTAAAAAGAACTAGCTTTTTTCCAGGTGAACCGATTATTGCCATGCCACAACTAAATCACTTTGATGAAAGAAATACATCGCTTTATTACACACTTAGCTGTTAAACTCCTCAATCTTATTGCTCTAAAGATAAGCTAAACATAAATGCGTGGTTTTCTCGTCTCTTAATGGCGGATTATCTGTTAATTTATCATAAGAGAAACTGAAAAACAAGACTTATTATGATCTTGGCTTATCACATGGATTTTTAAAGAGATTCATGTAAAGCAAAATTATACGCACATTCAAAGCAGCGTACATGTATGAATACCTTAATATTTTGTACATTGGATCAGCAGTGTAACCTCTTGTAGGTTTTAAGTCATATTGGCCTAAACCTTCCTAGAAGTGCATTTTTGTCAAATCAAGGGGCTGAGGCTGTAGTGGCCCGTGTATGACAGCGGGAACTGAGTTCCAAGAAAGGGCGATAATTCTTTGCACAAAGAACTTCTTCATTGTACAATCTAGCGAGAAAAACTGAGCAATGCTCTTCTCTGAGGTAATGTGATCTCAGATGCTCTAAGATGAGTAATTTATCTATAGCAAAGTAGTTTAGTTTAATTTTTTAGAGATTATTGACCAATGGTGTTTCAAATGCTTTAAAATACATTTTTTTACCCGTTTTATATATTTATTGATCTACTTTCACACGTAAATATTATATACATTTGTATTTTCAAGGAACTCGCTTATTCAAAACGAGTGTTTTTTATTCAAAGGGTTTGATTGGGCAGCATCCCATGTCACCATATTTCGACCATTTATTTGTAGCTCTTACAATCCTGATTTAAACAAAAATTATGCTCATAGGGTGCTGCTTCAGACTAGAGGAAAAATTTTGCCATCGTACGAAAACTAGACTGACCAGTTAGATTATAGCATTATTACCAAAGGTGGGAGCGCTGAAAATATTTTGGTATCACTTATTGTAAAAAAAACTCAAGGAATTAAAATGATATTTTGAAAAATAGGTAGGTGCACAATTAGATAGAAATTGAAGCTCTTGGTATCAATTCAGTCACTTAAACAAGAGATGCGCTTGAGTAAGGTTATTCCCAATATTCTGAAATATCCTTCGAGCTCTGTTTTTGAAGGACGTGAAGAGAGAGGAGTAATGCAATGCTTTCCTTCAAGATAACCACCATTTTTTCTCACAAAGTGGTCTGTATGACCCATGCATGAAGTTTATACGTGATAGGATCTCTGAATACAATGGTACTACACTTTTTCACTGCCATAGCTGCTGGGACATGCGGGCTGGGAGAGAAATGGATGAAAGGGTATGACAAACGGGGAATTTTTCTTTTTCATTTTCAACCTCAGTATCTCTCGGATGGTGTTGTTTTAAGCGATGTTTCAACAACAAATGTATGACAACCATTAATATCCTAGATTTAATTTAAATTTCTGGAAACTGATTAACCACGATTGTAATAAAATTCAGTGAAAC